AGTATATATATATATATATTTGTTAATTAGTTGGTTTACATAATAAAAACTAATCCTTTGTTTTATATATATATATAGTAGATCTGGCTCTATTATTCAAAATTTATGACCTTTTGAAAAAGACAATATTATTCTCAGATCACTAATTATTGGCTTTTTTCCTTGTTAATTTCATACCGTTTTACCGACCGAATAATTCATGACTTGAGAAAAGGCAAAAAGTGGATGCTGCAAAGATGAAAATGGGGTCCAACCTAAAAAATTATGGCCTTTAAAAAAAAAAATTATATTTTTAAGATATTAAAATACTAAAAAAAAATTTACAACTACAGTTGCAATGCAACCATCCAAACTAAGCTTATGTCTAGCTAACTGAATGATGATTTGATTTCTAATTAAGGAAGTGCCCAATATACATAATTGAACGATTTTATTTTGCAACAGCATTTTATAATAATCATGTGATATTAAATAATTTTTTTTATAAGAAATGCAGAAATATATTGAATAATAAAAAAGTACAGTAAAAAACTCCATCACATGGCACATAGCCTAAGGCATAAGAGCTTAAAAAGCATAATCAAAAGCATAACATATAGCCTAATAACAGATTTAAACTATGTCCATGATGAATATAGACAATTAAGTAAGAGAGCCATCTGCAATTAGAGATTGCAATTGCAATCGCTGTATGGGTTAAATAGGGCTACTAATGTAAAAAAGAGAGTCCCTATGAGCATCGGAAGCTACTGGATATCCTCACCTAGTTAACCAGCTTCTCGGGGAGAGCAAAGATTTTGGCAACAAGCAGTCCCCAAACTATAGGTTGCCATCCAAACTATTCTTAAAAAGTAATTAGCAAGATGAGGGGTATGGTCCTCCTCTGTGCAGTCGCCTGGTACCTTATTCGTCTGCAAGTGCACCCAAACATGTGCCCATCTGTTCCAATCTTCATGAAGCCCTTGCTACCATAGATTAATAAGAGATCTAGAGCCCCTTTACCAACTTGAGGACCATACTGCCCTTGCAGAACACCATCAGCTTCCTTCATAGCATGTAAATTTGACCATCCACACCAAAACCCGCTTATGTCCCCTCATGTAGAACCCAACCGGAATATGAGAATGCCCCTCTCCTTTTCCGATTTGCTCAAGGTAGCATTGATGTCACCTAAATGCAGCCAAAACAAAGGAGAAACCGTCTCTGGTTGGCTGGAAAACCCTATTAATGGCCATTGACATCCACCCAGATCTACTATTACAACATCAATGTGAGATAGCTTCTCTCTGCACAATTGCTCACAGAACAACGAAGCCAACGCTAGATCTATTAATGGCGAGAAAGAGGAAACTTGAAGGTTAAGCTCATCCTTCAAAAACAGAGTCAAGCCACCCCTTCTCTCTGCACAATTGCTCGCAGAATAGTGACCCAACCCTAGATCTATTCGGAGCAAAGTCATCTCCATCCCTGATTGCTGTGTTGCAAGGAGCAGAGCAAGGTTTGGCATTTGTTGGAGGCACAATTGATTTGACCCAAAAATCAAATAAACCTCTTCAAGGTTGTGATAAGTCCAGGCCAACATACATGGATGAGCCATGGGAAGAACAAAAAGAAAAACAGGGGGAGAAGCCCTGTAAGAAAATAGGGAGAAACGCCTAGGCGAGGGGCTTGCACGTTGCAAGGAAACCCTAGCGGTGGCGAGGCTAATTGTTTGTGATATTAAATAAATTGAAACATAATATTTCAATTATTTGTTTTGTTGAATAAAATGTAGTAACATTATATTTATAATATTATATAATATTATAAATTTATAGTATTATATAATATTATAAATATATCATTTTTTAATTTAAAAAAATAGCTATATTTACTTTCATATAAAGATTGTGAAATTAAATAGTATTGTTTCCATTATATATGAAAGTACTAATTCAAGTTGTCAATAATTGGACTCACGTTTTGGATCAGATTCATTGATCATTTTTTGACTTACATTCATTTGCCATTATCCTTTTAAACAGTTAAACTCTTGGTGGGCACCAACTTGAAGAGTGTGGTTAGACATAATGATCTAAGTTTTATTCTCTTTTTTTCTTAAAAATTTCCCTTTGTTAAAAAAAATATATATATATCCTTTTAAACAATAAATTTTTAGAGAGAGAAAAGAAAAGGAGTGTATTTTTTGCCATGATTTTTTTTAAAGAGAATAATTTTAAAATAATTTTTTAAAATAATTTTATATATTACTTAAATGATTATTTTTTTATTTATTTGAAAATTATAATATTAAATACATCTAATTATTTAATAATATATAAAAATTATATAAAAAATGATATAAAAATATTATCTTTCTATCACCATTATTTTTTATACAATAAATGTTAAATTATATAATAAAAAATAATTTTTTTAATGTTTTAAATTAAAAATATATAATTAGATTATGTTTGAGAACTTAAATTTGAATTTAATGTATGTATTTTAAATATATATGTATTTACAATATATATAATTTAAATACATGTATTATAAATATTTAATAAAATACACAATTTGATTAAATTAAACAATTATAAAATTAAAATTAATTTGATGTTAATTTTTTTTATTGAGATATTTATACAAACACTTAATAGACAATTATAATAGACATTTTTACCACCGTTCACAACAGCCTGCTAGAACTTTGCTACCCCTATCTCCATTGCCCACTGCCAGAAACTAAAAGATACAAGCCTGTTGTCATCATGGGTGCTATGAGCTGCGAGAAGTCCTGCATTTTCCTTGACTTGACTGTTGTCCACTCTGCCCACTTTCAAGTCATCAACTCAAAAAATACAAGCTTATGGAGGTCTCGATATTGCCACCAATAAATTACCTCTCCATGAGTGACTTGATCGTTGGAGCTTCGTTACAAAGAAGCTATCTTATTGCAAAGGAAGATGCAGAGAATAAGTAAAGAATTTGAAATTTATTGTGAAATTCATGGGTACGAAAAAATATTTAAAATGTATGTTATTTAATTTTTGAAATATATAAAATAAAATATATGTATTTAAATTAAACTCATATCTTATAAAAATAAACAATAAATTTAATTTTATAATTTTAAATTCAAATACATTTATCTCAAACTCACGCTTTTAATCAAAGCATAGACATTTTTTGTCATGTTGTTTAACAAATTTTTTTTTTTTGGACAATGTTAATCACTTTTAATCTCCCAATCCCTAGTCTAGGGTGCAGTAGGGTCTTCGTAATTTGTCAAAGATATGGGTCCAGGATAATGACAAAGAGTCAAAAGTGATGCTTTGGTGGGCCACCCTAACTGTGCTACCTTTTGGGCCACTAGTGTTTATGCGATTAAAATTTTAAATTGAATAATTATAAATGAGAATAAAATTTAAGATTAAAATTTAGGGGTAATAATATAATATAAATTATATAATTTAAAATAATAAAAAAATAAAATTTATATTATTTAATAATTTATTTTTTTTATTTTTTTAAAATTCATAATATTATGTATATTAATTAATTTAATAATATAATTTTATTATATTATTAATTCTAAATTTTCCTACTTAATTTTATCATTACTCTTTTGAATTATTTGACTTTATTATGGTTTGTCTAATTTTGCACAACCCATAAATTCGCACACGGATATCACCTCATCACTACAGAGGGCAGAATATCACCTAATCAATAATTTTAAAAATTTATGTGTACTTGCTATCTGTTATGCTACAGGATAAAAAATGTTATAATTATATATAATACTATATGATATTATTAATTTATTATATATTTGATTCTTTTCATTTATGTTTTTACTTGAAATATCAGATACATTCTCACTATAGCATTGTCAACAACAAAAATTATTTGATAATTGAAATAGAGGAGGAATTCATTTATACATAAGTGTTATAAATCACACTTATACATAAGTGTTATAAATCACACTTATACAAAATCTTGATTATTTACCTCTTTATTTTTAATGATTAAAATTTATTATAATATTTTAAATGAAAAAGATAATTATCTTTAATAAATATGATAAAAAGTGAATAAATATCAACTATTAAAAGTAAAAAGATAAATAATAGTTAAGATTTTATATAAAATTTATGTGTAAATAAATTCTAAGTCATTGAAATGAAAATATATATTTATATATTGTAAAGATTTTATGTTCAAATTTAAACATGTATTTGTTAAATATCTTAATATAGTTGAGATAAGCCCTTTAATATAAGTATAGGTCCTCTTCATCAGTGGGTTTAATTTTGCACTCTTGGATAAATTACATAATAAAAGTTCCAAAAAGTATAACTCTCGGGATCTGCAGTATATATGTGCCCCACAATATTGTTCACTAGAGGGAA